GGGGATTTCCAGGCATCACCAACCCACTCCCTTATTCTGAGAGTAAATGGTACTGGAAAACAGCAGCAAACTGTGCAGCTTTACATGACTTGGTGCTGCAGAGGCTCGACCATCGACCATTCTTGTGCTGGGACACTGTTTTTCTCAGAAACGATGGGGGAAATACTGGGGCACTGGAATGCCTTCTTCACTTTTACTGGCAACTGGTAATGTCTTTCAGAATCAATGTATAAATTGTTCTGGTTACAGCAGTAGATTCAGGATTCGCATCATAAATGTGTGTATTAGTGCACTGATTTAACATTTCTGTAGTATTCATATCTCTTTTATTCCTGTATACCTTAATGCTTCCTTCCTGTGCCAAGTCCTACAACTCACTTAACTAGGTGCCAATCATGTAAATCACTAAAATTACAAAGGTCTATTTAATATGAATAATCATCAAAGCTGTATATCAAAGTAGGAAAAAATAGAAGTACAATGTCGTTTTATTTGAGATGTTTTGGTTTCTTGAGTTAAAAATTTTTTTTAAGTGTAAGCTCAAAATAAGAAGACAAACTAAAATTTTTTTCAGTTTAGTGTAGCTCTCTCCAAATTTCTAACTTTATACCTCACCAGTCCATTTATGGTTTCCTGTTACATCTGCAACATGAGCCATGAGCCGTGCCCCTTAGCCTTCATACTTTCAGTCACTACAGCAGCGCGGGGCAGCACTTTGAATTCCTTTGCACAAAGAGGCCATTTGAAAAATTCCAAATCTAATATTCCCATGATAAAATATGGGACTGAAAATATAATAAGGTAAATATTTTACTTTATTCCTTTCAACATTTGATAATGTGATATTTATAACCCCTATATATTTATCTCTGCTAAATTTCATATTCAATGATGAATAAAGCTCAAATTGGGTATTCAGTTTATAGAAATGTTAAGAACCATGAAAAAATTTTAATTTTGTTCAAAATGATACATTATTCTTTGTAAAAATAAAATTTTATTCCTTATAAGAATGATTTGGCTCAATATTCCTATGTTTTTAATACATATACTATAAGGAAGCATCCTATATTCTAAAGGGCACCCTTTTTTAGTCTGACTATAATACTTTTTTTTATTCTCATCTGAGGATATGTTTTTAAATTGATTTTAGAGAGGTGGAAAGGTGGGGGGCTAGAGAGAGAGAAAGAGAAACATTGATCAACTGCTTCCTGTACGCTCCCTGACTCAGGATCGAACCTGAAACCTAGCAATGTGCCCTGACTGGGAATTGAACCCACAATATTTTGGTATGTGGGACAACACCCCAACCAACTAAGCCACCCAGCCAGGGCTAAAGTTTTATTGTTTTTAAAAATTCCTTGACTGATAATAAAAACAGTATCCCTTTCACAAAACTGAGGAAATAAGGTTTAAAGAAATTACAAGTTACACAGGAAGTCACAGATTTAAAGGTGAAGACATTTGGGTCCTAATGTTCTACAAGCTTTGCCTACATTTCTTTTGGGTGTATTAGGGTATTTGGTTTTCATCTTCACCTTCTCATAGGATTCAGGCTAAAACTATTAAATTTTTGAGAAATTTGGATAAAATGTTTAAATCCTCAATATTTATAACACTGTTACACAAACAACGCCTAAATTACTCTGTGGAAGTAGTAGTTTCTTGTCACATTTGTATTTAAATCTGAAAAAGCACAGTCTAAACAAGGCAGGCTATTATCCCCTCCCCCACTGCCAATTGCAAATCAGTTATTTAAAAAAACTTTTAACATAAAACTTTAGTGTTGTTTCACTGTGTCATCTCTGACTTTTATGGAGAACCAGGCCTAACTGAATAAAATAAGAAATGACTCTATAAGAGTAAATAGTATTTCCTCAACAGTTTATTGGGTACCTTACTGCATATATGACATTGTTCTGGATGTTAGAAATACATGGGAGTAAAAGATAAAATGGGTTACCTTCTGTCCTCAATGCACTAACAATTTATTTCTCAATGCCTTGAGAAGACAAGGCATTCTACATGTAGAGAGAGAAATGTTTTTGTTGGATGGACTAAAGCAGTGTAGAAGGTCAAGGAAGGGTGTTATTCCTAATGAATATAGATTAGGTGGCACATGTGGTTATACAAGGAAAAGTCATGAGTAGCATGTAGTAGTAGAAAGACTGGAAGGGTAATTAATAAAAGTTATCTAGAGTGTCAAAGATTATTCTCTGGCTCTCACTTGAAACATAGAGCTGTCCCAGAAATAGACAGTAAAGAGGGGTGCAGGCTACTCTTTTTCTTCTGTCAATTAGATTTTCAATTTAGTGCATCTTTATTGAAAGGATGTTATATTCATGATTAGTGTCAAAACCATATTTAAGTCAACCATTTTCAGGTTACTGTACATTATACAAAAGTTGAGTAAGAACCTCTCTGCTACTAGAAGTTTATGGTGTAGTAATGAGATTAGACAAGTGAAAATGACTAATACAAAGTGTAATGAGGTAAGAATGAAGTCATAGGATGCAAGATTTTGACTATGGCAGATTTCATTTTCCAAAAGAGGCTAGGGCAGTATTTTGTGTCCCATCTGCTCTTCCAGAAGCTTGCCATACCCACATCTGGAGCTGGAGTCTATTTCCCTTCCCTCTTGAAACTGAGCAAGTCTCTGTTCCTGCCTCTATAAATACAGTGCACTGAAAGTGATGCCACATCACTGCCCAGGACATGACTCGGCAGCCAGCTGCCATGGTTTGAGGAAGCTCAGGCCACATGGAGGCCTATGGAGATGTTGGAGCTGACAGCTTTACCTGAAGTCTTAGCTGACAGCCAGCACCACATGCCAAATTTGTGTTTGAGAGAGACTTCTGATAAGCCAAGCATTCAGCCTTGGTACTGTCCCAGATGACCTCAAGTAGAACAGAAACCCATGCAAGCCATATGTATGAGGGGGGACTCAAAAAACCCAGAATTATCTTCTGGAGGGTGGGGGCCATTTAAAGATATAATGATGCAATATTTCTTTTAAAAGTGTTCTTCTATTGTCCCTGGGACACTTCTCTTAGAAACTGGCACACACTGTCAGAGTCTGAATGTCATCCTTTCTTGATCTTACCAAAAGGTATCTCCAGAAGATGCAACTGACAGGTTTCAGAAGATAACTCAGAGTTGATCATCTCTTTCATAAATGGTATGTTAACTAAAACCTCAGTGGGTTGCAGTTGTCTTGTCATAGCAGCAGTATTAATAACTGAGTTCACAGATATGAGGTGGGACCTCAAAAAATTGGAATTATCTTCTGGAGGGCAGACCCTTTGTAGTACAGGTTGACCCAGCTAGGTTAGTTTTCTAGGAACCCATTGTACTTGCTGGTGTTGTTGTGAGAGGCTGAGTTTGGCTTCAGTAAATTTTTTTGAAGACTCTTTCAATGCATTTGTTTCATAATAACCTACCTGACTTCCCACCAAGATAGGAGCATAGGTAAATACACTTTGCCTCCTCACACAACCAAAAGAAAGACAGCAACAAATTTCAAAACAAAAAAAAATACCAGAACTGCCAGAAAATTGAACTGTATGGGAGTCCAATAACCAAGGAGTTAAAGAAGAAACATTCATTCAGACTGGTACACTGAGACAAATAATATGGCCCAAATGAAAGAACAGATCAAAGCTCCAAAAATAGAACTAAGTGATGAAGAAAGAGCCAACCTATCAGATGCAGAGTTCAAAACACTGGTAATCAGGATGCTCACAGAAATGGTTGAGTATGGATGCAAAATGGAAGAAAAAGTGAAGGCTATGCAAAGTGAAATAAAAATGCTGTATACAGGGAACCAACAGTGAAGGAAAGGAAACCAGGACTCAAATCAAGTATGTGGACCAAAAGGAAGAAAGAAACATTCAACCAGAATAGAATGAAGAAAAAAGAATCCAAAAAAATGAGGAGAGGCTTAGGAACCTCCAGGACATCTTTAAACATTCCAACATCCGAATCATAGGGGTGCCAGAAGGAGAAGAGGAAGAACAAGAAATTGAAAACTTCTTTGAACAAATAATAAAGGAGAACTTCCCCAATCTGGCAAAGGAAACAGACTTCTAGAAGGCCAGGAAGCTCAGAGAGTCCCAAAGAATTTGGACCCGAGGAAGCACACACCAAGGCACATCATAATTACATTACCCAAGATTAAAGATAAGCAGAGACTCTTAAAAGCAGCAAGAGAAAAGGAGACAGTTACTTGCAAAGGAGTGCCCATGAGACTGTCAGCTGATTTCTCAAAGAAACCTTGCAGGCAAGAAGGGGCTGGAAGGAAGTATTCCAAGTCATGAAAATCAAGAACCTACACACAAGATTGGTTTATTCAACAAAGCTATGATTTAGAATGGAAGGGCAGAGAAAGTGCTTCACAGATAAAGTCAAGGTAAAGGAGTTCATCAACACGAAGCCCTTATATGAAAGGTTAAAGGGACATATCTAAGAAAAAGAAGATCAAACATGAACAGTAAAATGATAACAAACTCACAACTATCAACAACTGAACCTTAAAAATAAAAGACAAACAGCCCTGGCTGGCATAGCTCAGTGGATTGAGCACAGGCCTGCGAACGAGATCGTGGTTCGATTTCCAGTCAGGGCACATGCTTCGGTTGCAGGCCAGTTCCCAGCAGGGGACACACGAGAGGCAACCATACATTGAGATTTCTCTCCCTCTCTCCTTCCCTTCCCCTCTAAAGATAAATAAATAAAATTTAAAAATAAATAAAAATAAAAGACAAAAGCAAAAACAAACTAAGCAAACAGGAACAGAATCACAGAAATGGAGATCACATGGAGGGTTATCAGCGAGGAGGGGGTGTGGGGAGAATGAGGAAAAAGCTACAGGGGATAAGAAGCATGAATGGTGGGTACAAAATAGACGGGGGGGATGGTAAGAATAGTATAGGAAATGGAGAAGCCAAAAAACTTATATATATGAACCATGGGCATGAACTAGGAGGGGGGCAATGTTGATAGAAGGGAAGGTGCAGGGTGGAGGGGCATAAAGGGAAAAAATGGGACAAGTGTAACATTATAATCAATAAAATATACTTAAAAAATAATAATTCACCTTCCCACACCACACTGAGTACTGAGCAGTTGCCCTACCCTCCCTATTCACCAATTTTGCCCCAAGGGACTCTTTTTTTTTTTTTACCCTCTCCTCTCCTCCTGGTGAAAAATATCCTCAAAGAGAAATTTTTTCCATGGTGGAAGAGGTGAAACAAACAAACAAAAAATGGCAGAATTAGTAAAAGGCATCAAAATCAGAGTTCAAAAACTCTTTTGATCAGGGAAAGATCTTGATAGGTGTATTGCAGCAATACTTTGAAGGTGACTGAAGAATAAATATATAATTTTTAATAAATAAACTGTTTTGGGGGTTCCCCTCTGCCTGTGTGTATGTGCCTATATAACTGTGTGGATATGTTCAAAGATAAAGACAGATACTAGTTAAAGTAGTCAGGAGAGATTTTAATCAGTAATATAGTGTTGCAGTAGGGAAAACAGTCCAGCATGAACTAAACTCAGCTTTGATTTGTAGAGTTGTTTGGGCAGTTTAGAAGGAGAATGGGATTACAGAGAGGAGGTGAATGGGGTTCATAGAGTCAAAGAAGATGAAAAGTGCAAAAAGCAGGAAGGAGGATTTGGTCCATATAAAACACATTTGGGTTAGGCTCCTACCCTCCATTCAAGGCTGGGAGACAGACCCTATCTTCAGATGTTGCCTGGAACAAAAGGTAAATTCTTTGGTGACCTCGAGCTTTCCCCGGTATGTATTTTAAGTCGGGGCAGGGTGATCCTAGGAACGGAGCTGTTAGAAACTATATTAGTGTTTCCTTGGCTAATGTACAGCCTAGTGGAGAAAGGGCTTAGAAGACCCTGGCTAGATTTGGCTTGAGGAGAGACTCAGACGCACACACAGATCTAAGCATTACAACAGACAGATCACTGCATTTGGTGATTATAGGTCATCAGTGACCTTTGAAATAGCTTGATTCAGCACATGTTAGAAGAGTTACACTGCAGGGGTTTATAATTTGAATAAGGAAAATACCACGTGATCCTTCTATGTATGGATCTTTGATTTCACACCTATAGAAAGTGGTTATTATTACCCATGTAGCTCAGAAAGGCTAATTTCCCAAAGCCTTCAAGAAGTGGAGAAGAGGCCCTGGCTAATGTCCCTCAGTGGATTGAGTGCTGGCTTTGGAATCAAAGGGTGGCAGATGGATTCCCTGTCAGGGTGCATGCCTGGAATGAGGGCCAGGTCCCCATTTGAGGGCACAGGGCGAGGCAACCACACACTGATGTTTCTCTTCCCCTCTTTCTCCCTTCTGTCCCTTCTCTAAAATAAATAAATACAATCTTTAAAAAAAAAGAGAGAAGTAGATAAGGGACTAAAATTGAGAAGGTTGGCTAACTTCTAAGATTTGTATACTTTCCATTATACCCTGTCACTGAAGAAGCGATAAGAACAGACCAGTCCAGTGGACAAAATCCTGATCTCTGCATTTTGGAGAAGCTGAAGGATCATAGGTAGCAGAGAATGGGGATTTCACAAGTTAGTAATCATGAAGTGTCACAAATTTTTTAAAAAACTTCCAACAGGTCCCGGTATGATGGAAGCAAATTAAAAACGCAGCTTGGATCACGCTGGCTTTAGGTGTGGCTCAGGGTCAGGCCTCCGCACAGAATCCAGGGCCCGCGCTCCCCTGGCCGGGGTCCTGACCCCCACTCCGCGCCCCACCCCCCCATGTGGGTGTCAAGGAAACCGTCATTCCTCCGCTGTGGTCGGACACGTGCTGTCAATGTTAAAGGGCTGAGCCACCAAGGGCTCGCAGTAGTCCCAAAGGCCTAGGTTCACTGGAGCACGCCCTCAGACTGCGACGCGCAGCGCGGAGGACTTCGGCTACGCCGTCTACGCTGGCTGCCAACGACCTTTGCGTCGTCAGGGGGTGGGACTACGCAAGTGGGCAAGTGGATCATGTGATCCTGGGCGGAGCCTGCGCACAGCCAGCCAGACCCATTCGGAGCTGGAGCTGAGGCCGGGTCCTTGAGACCCTGGGGAAGACCGCACCGAGGCTGCTGTGCCCTGGTGGAACGCCCCAGCCGCCGCCATGGGCAGTGAGTAGTGGCGTCTGGGTCGGGCTCGCCGGGTGGCGTGTGGAGTGGGCCTCTCGCCGAGCGTGCGGGCCGGCGACCGCTCGTGGTCGCCCAGCCCGCACACCTGGGAGGCGCGAGGCGCTGTGTAGGACGTGGACGAGAGGCCTCCGTCCAGGCTCCTCCAGCCTATGGAGACCTTGTCCGGCCGGCTGTGGGGACCGGGACCTGCAGGCCCAGTGTTTGCTCTCCCTAGATGGAGAAGCGTGGAGTACGGTGCGGGGAGGCCACTGGTTTGGGGGGCGGGGTGGTAGAAAACCGGCCACTTTGAATTTTTCGGGAGTTTAGAAAGCTCATATTTTTTTGCCCACATCACCCTTTCCGGGCATTTTAGTTGTGATAAATAAAGTTCCCTGACTTGTTTAGTTTTAGAAAAGTGATGCGTGGCATGTATTGTAGGGGAGGAAAGGAGTGCGTTAGGTAGCGTAGCGTTTTGTCTAAAAATTTTATTGAGGCATTCTGTGGCGTTTACTGAAAATTCTCTGTCGTGTAAGGTTGTTTACGCCTTAAGGACAAGGCCTTATATTACAGGGATCTTTTGAGGGCCCTCTCTGGGTAACTGCAGACCCAAGCTCTGCACCCATTGGCCAACTAGTGGACTTTTGCGGGCACTCAGAAACGAAGTAGAGGAGACCCCGGCCTTTGATTCACAGTATAAGGGGTAAAATTCTGCAACAGTGAGTTGATATGTAGCAGACAAAAGCATTTCTTGAACATGAATACTCCAACAGAGGTGGTCATGAAATGCCAGAAACCTGGAGGAGGGTGACTTGGGTTGAGGTGAGACAGGAAAGGGATAAGGAGATTGTAGGGTTTCCTGATGTGATGGATAATTGTTTTACATTAGAGATGAACACTTTTATAATTGAGATTTACTTTACAGATAGTCCAAAATGTTACTTGGGTTACAAACATTTGCCCATGAAGATCTCAGAATTCTTTATGAAATCAGTGAATACCATCAATTTGAGAGGTTTTATTAAAAAGACTTTTAGCTAACTGCTGAAGTTCAGTTGTCAGTTTTAAAACAGTTTCATGATACTGGTACGGAATCCAATGTGTGTAGGGGAAGGTGATCATAACTAGTAGCTAGTTGTGGCCTCTTGTGTTTCTGCATATTGCAGAAGCTGGCTGAAACTGAAGTCTGAGAGATTATTATCTTCAACCTTCAGTAATTTTGGCAGGGCTTGACTTCAGTCATGCCAGAAGATGGTGTCTCTCCTTAAAGAACCTTGGTTTATCTTTTATATATCAAAAGAGTTGTCTGGGAAAACAATGGTGTCTGAGGAAATGTGATCGTCATTCTGTGGGCTATCCATTGTACATAAGCAACTACTTTGAGACCATTATGTGGGAGAGTGACCAAGCAATGAACAGTGAGAATGAAATGAAGTAAAAGGTATCTATAAAGGTGATTCCATGATCTTACTCACTTACTCATTGCAGCATCTTTCAGTTTAAGTCATTTCTGCATTTCAGTTTAAGCCCATTTCCTGTTGTACTTTCCTCTTTTATTTCTCCTCTGATATCTCCTATTTTCTTCTTGAGTTCATTATGTTGTGGGTATCATAGTAGGCTACATTTATTTGCTTTTTTTTTTATTGAATTATTCCTTTCTCTATGTATGAAAGGGTTGTATACAAGCATGAGGAAGCAAAATCATTTGAAAAGGATACTTGTGTTACTTGTCTTTTACTGACCGAGCCCTTAAACCTTTAGGATTTGGGGTGGTTTTTTTTTGGTTTCTTTCTCTATTTGAAATGGAGAGCATTATGATCAATTTTGGGTGTAGGGAATGGAATGGATTGCCATGAAAAGTTGGAGAACATTGACCTGTGACTCCGTAAAAAGATACATTTCTTTAAAAAAATTACTTTGTAATAGGGATATGCATTCTTTTTTTTCCCACAGTCAAATTTTTAGAAGTTATCAAACCTTTCTGTGCAGTTCTACCAGAAATACAGAAACCTGAAAGAAAAGTAAGTTATAATGTTTTATTAATACAGAGGATACCTAACATTTTGCTAAACCAGCAAGATTGATTTATTGTCCTCAACCCTGTTGTGTCTGTAATTGGAAAACATTACCTGTTCCATTTCCTTGCAAGAGGCATAAAGTAAATAAAACCAGGCCTGTTTAAATCTGGATAGCTTATCTCATGGTTTCAAAAATAACTGTTCTTTAAGTTCTAACATTTCCAAACCAAGTGTTTATTTGGCCTGTTAGACAAGATATAGTGTTTCCCTGTCTGCAGTGATCTTCGTAATTCCTGTAGTATGGGGTGTGCACTGTGTTTTTTGATGTGACCCACTGCCCTATGAATGGCCCTATCTGCTGGGTCTGTTTTGATGAGTACAGCTATTTTACATAAATGAATTGCAACTCTGCAAATATATACCATCTATTTTTGATTCATTCAATACAAAGAAAAATTACAGGAATGCATTCAGAAGATACTGTGACTCCATCAAGTTGTTCTTCCATCATTGTGTACTTTTGGTGGTAAGATGCTTAAATTCCAGAAATTCTGTTATCTCCCGAACTGGCCAGTTCCCAGACATTCCTCTCCTACTGTACTTTCGATTTCTCATGAAACTAACAGGTACAGCAATTTACAAAGAGATGAGTAAACTTTTGTTAAATTTTTTATTATTTAGAAGTATGTTCTTATATTGCTTTGAGGTAATAAAAATAGGTAATCATGTAATATTACACTCAGTCCTGGACTTGCACAGTATTAGGTTAATTGAAATGTGTGCATATTGGATTGTGTCTTGCTTTGCATCCTTTTCAGTTTTAGTTAACACAGTATAGTGTGGTGAGGACTACTTGTATTGAAGTTACAACATTCTTTTTTTTTTAAATTTTTATTTATTTTTTTAATATTAAATTTTATTTATAAGTTACAACATTCTTGAGAAAAGAAAGTTATATTTGAGAAGTTATTTACTTTAGTGCTTTAGCTGCTGCCAACAAGGGTAAGAGTACTTTTTTTTAATCCTTACCCGAGGACAATTTTTCCATTGCTTTTAGAGAGAGGGGAAGGTAGGGCAGGGAAAGACAGAGACAGAGATGGGGGGAGAGAGAGAAAAAAACATTGATTGGTTGCCTTCTAATGTGGTCCCTGACCCAGGATTAAACTTGACACTTGAGTGTGTGTCTGTGACCTTTTGGTCAGTGGGACGACACTTCTACCAATTGAACCATGCCCGTGAGGGTAAGGGTGAGAGTATTTTAAGACTTAAAAATAGTGTGTCATGATGGGGAATGGTAGCTGTGCTTTAATAGGAAGTTTTGCTTTATATTTGCTCTTTCTCCATTTTGATTCACTTTTCTTTGTGTTTTCTTATAAGATCCAGTTTAGAGAGAAGGTACTATGGACTGCTATAACACTCTTCATTTTCTTAGTATGTTGTCAGGTATGTAAACATAATATTAAATAAATGCCGGTACTGTTATTCTAAGGTTTCGATTGATTAGAATTTGTGGTACTTATTTTAGTTTAAAAATTTACTGAATTATTTTTAGCATTATGATTGTTTTTAATGAGTTGATTGTGAAAACAGTTATCTTGACCTACTTTGTATTTCTTCTGGGTTACTAGTGGGTTTGAACATTTTTCTCTCTTAGTTTTCAGTTAATGATCTTTACCCATTAAAGAGGTTTCTTATTGATTTATGACAGGTTTTTATATATAAAAGTGTTAAGCTTTTGACATATATTTTGGAAATACATATTCCCGTTTTGCTTGCCACTTCTCATGTTGTAGATAGCATGTATTAATTAAAAAAAACTCAAAAAGCTGGATTCTAGAACCCTAGAGATATATTGTATTTGTACATTAATAAAACTCAGTGATGCTTTAAAATTTTTTCTTCAGAGATTAAGTTTATAAACTGTGATCTGTCCATGTCACAGGGTTGTTGTGAGGATTGAGTTAGGTAATTTAGGTGAACTTTTTTTGAGGATTTTGAAAAATCCTCAAAGCTATTGAAATGCATGCAAGAAGTTTTAAACAATAGTATTAAGAAGCAGTAAAACCTACCAAGTCTATAATTTTGGGATAAGCTGAATATATTTTCTGAAGAGTGAAACAATTTAATCATTTTATTTGTACTTAGTTTAAAGTTGATTTGGGTGGTCAGGTAGAACTTTTTAAAAATACAGAAGAGTGCAAAGGAAAAAGCATAATCATCTATAATCCCACCATATACTTCGAACATCTTAGAAATTCCCTTTCTCTCCCTTTAAAAAAATGAGATTTAAGAAGGTATACTTTTTATATGGTAAAATATACCCGGTTTTTGTAAGTGCATTTTTAAAAGTGTCGACAAATGTGTATACCTGCATACTTAGTATCTCAGTGGATAGAGAACATTTCTGTCACTCCAGAAAGTCTCTTGTAACCTGTGTCAGTAAATCCTCACCTCGCCTCCAGTATCAGGCAATCACTGGTCTGTTTTCTGTTCTTGTAATCTGATTCATCTTTTTTTTTTAACTTATTTTTTTATTGATTATGCCATTACAGTTGTTCTATTCCCCCCAAGGGGGGTTCATTCCCCTCCACCCTACCCCCTCTCCCCACCATTACCCCCCCTTTAGTTTATGACCATGTGTCTCAAGTTCTTTAGATTCTATATTTCCCATACTATTCTTGCCCCCCATCTATTTTCTATCTACTGTCTATGCTACTTATTTTCTGTACCTTCTCCCCCCTTCTCCTTCTCCCACTCCCCTGTTGCTAACCCTCCTTGAGATCTTCATTTCTATGTTTCCACTCCTGATCTAGCTGTCCTCTTAGTTTGCTTTTGTTTTAGGTGTGGTTGTTAATAACTGTGAGTTTGCTGTCCTTTCACTGTTCATGTTTTTTATCTTCTTTTTCTTAGGTAAGTCCCTTTAACATTTCATATAATAAGGGCTTGGTGATGATGAACTCCTTGAATTTGATCTTATCTGAGAAGCACCTTATCTGTCCTTCCATTCTAAATGAAAACTTTGCTGGATAGAGCAATCTTGGTTGTAGGTCTTTAGATTTCATGACTTGGAATACTTCTTTCCAGCCCCTTCTTGCCTGTAAGGTCTCTTTTGAGAAATCTGCTGACAGTCTGATGGGGACTCCTTTGTAGGTGACTGTCCCCTTAGCTCTTGCTGCTTCTAGGATTCTCTCCTTCATTTTAATCTTGGCTAATGTAATTATGATGTGCCTTGGTGTGTTTCTTCTTGGGTCTAACTTCTTTGGGACTCACTGAGCTTCCTGGATTTCCTGGAAGTCTATTTCCTTTGCCAGATTGGGGAAATTCTCCTTTATTATTTGTTCAAATAAGTTTTCCACTGGTGGCTGTGCCTTTCCCCCTTCTGGTACCCCTATAATTCGCATGTTGGAGCGTTTAAAGATGTCCTGGAGGTTCCTAAGACTCTCCTCATTTTTTTGAATTCTTGCTTCTTCACTCTTTTCTGTTTGGCCATTATTTGCTTTCTTCTGGTCCACTCCATTGATTTGAGTCCCAGTTTCCTTTTCATCGCTATTGGTTTCCTGTGCAATTCCATTCATTTCAATTAGTTTCGCCTTCATATGTTTCTCTAATTTGTGGCTATAATCAACCTGTTCTGTGAGGATCCTGATCACCAGTGTTTTAAACTGTGCGTCTGAGAGTTTTGCTATTTCTTCATCACTTAGATTTATAGGCTCTGGGGCTTTGAGATCTTCTTGAGCCATTTTTGGTCTCTTTGCGCCCGTTAAGTATGAGGAGTGGAGCCTTGGACTCCCAGGTCGCTGGGTTGTGAAGCTGTATGTGGAGGCTGGGTCAGAGAGGGGGAAATGGCGGCGCCCTCTGCTGCTGCTCCCCGCGGGGACCCGCTGGGTCCCGGTCCAATCGCCCACTCCCTCGCTTGTCTATCCGCACACGAATGCGCGACCACAGTCAGCCCGCAGCCCTGCTCCCTTGCTGTTTCCCCGCGGTGGCTCACTTGGTTGCTCACTAGGTCCAACCCTGCGCTTGGATTCCGCGCCTGAGTCCATCTGACCGAGTTTTCCTGTGCAACCCCGGTTCACTAGCTGCTGGTTTTGCCCCTTACTGGTCAGGCTGAAGAATTTGTTGTTAACAGACTTCCAAAAAGTTCAATTTTCTGTGTTCTGGCTGTGTTTTCTGTTGCTAATATTTAGTTGTCTCTAAACTTGGTTGTGTGAGAAGGCACGGCATATCCACCTATGCCTCCATCTTGGCAGGAGTCTTTGATTCATCTTTTTTTAATGTTGTATTGATTATGCTATTACAGTTGTCTCATTCCCCCCTTTTATTCTTCTTCCTCCTGCACATTCCTTCCTACCCGCATTCCCCCCCTTTTAGTTCATGCCCAAGGGTCATATATATAAGTTCGTTGGCTTCTACATTTCTTATACTGTTCTTAACCTCCCCCTGTCTATCTTCTACCTACCATTTATGCTACTTATTCTCTGTACATTTCCCCCCTCTCTCCCCACCCACTCCCCCACTGATAATCCTCCATGTGATCTTCATTTCTGTGATTCTGTTCCTGTTCTAGCTGTTTGCTTAGTTTGTTTTTGTTTTATCTTTTATTTTTAAGGTTCAGTTGCTGATAGTTGTGAGTTTGTTGTCATTTTACTATTCATATGTTTGATCTTCTTTTTTTTTTTAATATTTTATTTATTTATTTTTAGAGAGAGGGGAAGGGAAGGAGAAAGAGTGGGAGAGAAACATCAATGTGTGGTTGCCTCTCTTGAGTCCCCTGCTGGGAACTGGCCTGCAATCCAGGCATGTGCCCTGACTGGGAATCAAACCGCGATACTCTGGTTCGCAGGCCCACGCTCAATCCACTGAGCTACGCCAGCCAGGGCCTCGATCTTCTTTTTCTTAGATATGCCCCTTTAACCTTTCATATAATAAGGGCTTCATGTTGATGAACTCCTTTACCTTGACTTTATCTGTGAAGCACTTTCTCTGCCCTTCCATTCTAAATCATAGCTTTGTCGAATAAACCAATCTTGGGTGTAGGTTCTTGATTTTCATGACTTGGAATACTTCCTTCCAGCCCCTTCTTGCCTATAAGGTTTCTTTGAGAAATCAGCTGACAGTCTCATGGGCACTCCTTTGCAAGTAACTGTCTCCTTTTCTCTTGCTGCTTTTAAGAGTCTCTGCTTATCTTTAATCTTGGGTAATGTAATTATGATGTGCCTTGGTGTGTGCTTCCTCGGGTCCAACTTCTTTGGGACTCTCTGAGCTTCCTGGCCTTCCTAGAAGTCTGTTTCCTTTGCCAGATTGGGGAAGTTCTCCTTTATTATTTGTTCAAAGTTTTCAATTTCTTGTTCTTCCTCTTCTCCTTCTGGCACCCCTATGATTCGGATGTTGGAATGTTTAAAGATGTCCTGGAGGTTCCTAAGCCTCTCCTCATTTTTTTGGATTCTTTTTTCTTCATTCTATTCTGGTTGAATGTTTCTTTCTTCCTTTTGGTCCACATACTTGATTTGAGTCCTGGTTTCCTTTCCTTCACTGTTGGTTCCCTGTATACAGCATTTTTATTTCACTTTGCATAGCCTTCACTTTTTCTTCCATTTTGCATCCATACCCAACCATTTCTGTGAGCATCCTGATTACCAGTGTTTTGAACTCTGCATCTGATAGGTTGGCTCTTTCTTCATCACTTGGTTCTATTTTTGGAGCTTTGATCTGTTCTTTCATTTGGGCCTTTGTTGTTGTTGTTGTTCTGGGCATGCCTGTTATGCAGTAAGGGGTGATTCATCCTTTCTTGAGTTTGATATAAATGGTATCCAGTATTACTCCTTAGTATCTAATTTCATCAGCTTTCTGAGATTCATTCATGTTGTTGGTATAGCAGTGATTTATCCCTTTTTATTTCTTAGAAGTGTTCTGCTGCATACTATATAACAATTTGTTCACCTAGTCACTCGTTGGACATTTGGGCTGTTTCCAAATTTTGCCCTTTGCAAATAAGTTTCTGTAAATATTCATGAACAAGACTTTTTGTGTACCTGCTTACATTTCTCTTGGGTGAATACCTAGAAGATTTGTATGACAGGATTGTATTATGACAAGTATATGTTCAACTTTGTAAGGAACTGTCACACTCTTTCCCAAGTGGTTGCCCCATTTTATATTCTCACTAGCCATGTATATGAGTTCCAGGTGCTCTGCATTCTTGTTTACTTTTGCTATTGTTGAGCATTTTAATATTAGCCCTTCCAGTGGGTGTGGTTTTAATTGGCATTACTCAGATAGATGATATTGAAGTTGTAACTTACATTTCTTTGGTAAATGATACTGAGGAAACTTCTTGTGTACTTATTCGGTACTCATCTTTTGTTTTTTGAATGTCTTGTCCAACTGAAAAACTTGGATTATTGTCCCACTATTGAATTATGTGGATTTTTAATATTTTCTGTATACAAACAAGTCCTTTGTCAGATATATATACTGTGAATATTTTCTTTGTTTAATTAAAAAAAACTTATAAAGATTTTATTTATTTATTTCTCAGGGAGAGGGGAAGGGAAGGAGAACGAGAGGGAGAGACATGCTGATCTGTTATCTCTCACTCCCCGTCCTTCCCCCCACCCCTACCCCTGCCTACAACCCAGGCATGTGCCCTGACTGTGAATCAAAGCAGTGACCTTTTGGTTTGCAGGCCAGCTACCAGTCCACTGAGCCACACCAACCAGGGCTTGAATATTTTCTCCTAGACCATGGCTTGCCTTTTAATTTTCTTAATATCTTTTAAAGAGCAGAAGTTTTTAATTCTGTAAAGTTTAGGTTATTTTATTCTTTGATGGCTCATGGTTTGTTTCCTGCCTAAGAATTTTTGCCTGTTCTAAGGTCATTAAAATTTCCTCCCACATTCTTCTAAATGTTTTATAGTTTTGCCCTGACCAGTGTGGCTCAGTTGGTAGGGCTTTGTCTCGCAAAGTGAAATATCAATGGTTTGGTTCCCTGTCAGGGTAGATGCCTGAGTTTTGGGCTGGGTCCCCAGTTGGGGTATGTGCAAGAGGCAACCAATCAATGTTTTTCTCTTATGCTGATGTTTGTCTCCCTCTCTTCCCCTCTGTCTAAAAAATAAATAAATAAATAAATAGCCCTGGCTAGTGTGGCTCAATGGATTGAGTACCATCCTGCAAACTGCCAGGTTTGGTTCTTGGTCAGGGCATGTGCCTGGTTGTGGGCAACGTCCCCAGCTGAGGGGGGGCATGTGAGAGGCAACCTATTGATGTTTCTCCTGCACATTGATGTTTCTCTTCCTCTTTTCCTCCCTTCTTTCTCCTCTCTCTCCAAATAAAATAAAATAATAAAATAAAATAAATTAAAAAATAATAAAATAAAGTATTTAAATACAGTTTTAGCATTTATGTTTTGGTCTCTGATCTATTTCAACTTAATTTTTTTTGTGCATGGGATGAGGTAAGGTTGGGGTTCATTTTTTTCCTGTATAGATAGCCAGTTGTTCAAAAAGGTATATCCTTTCTCCAGTGAATTACCTTGTCATCTTTGCTGAACAATTAACCTTGCACGGATATCTATTTCTGTATTGTCTGTTCTGTTCCATTGATCTGTGTTTGTGCTAATGGTAAACCACTCTTTTTTGTTTACTTCAGCTTTATACTGAGTCTTGTAATTAGGTCATACTAGTCCTCTAACTTTGTTGTTCTGTTTCAAAATCCTAGGTTCTTTATATGTCCATAAAAATTTTAGAACCAACTTAGCGCTTTTCATAGAAAGATTCCTAAGGTTATGATTTGTATTGCATTGAATTTGCAGATCAGTTTTGAGAGATTTGCCATCTTCTAATCTAGGCATCAGCAAATGTTTTTCTGTAAAATGCTAGATGGTCATTGTTTTAAATATAACATTTCTTATGACTGTTTCATGTAGTAAATTTGTGCATTTTATGCTACTTTATTTTTCTTTCCATAGTATATTTACATAGTTGCCAAGTTGTGTCTTTTTTACTTTCTCCTGCTTAGTTCTCTGCTCAGCGTGGGTGATTTCTTGATTCTCTTTCCCCTTGAACCTGAAACAGCTTTTATTTCCCCTTTCCAGCCACAATTTAAGGGCTTGGAGTCTTCTACCTCATTCTCTTTACTCTAGGGAATGGTGGAAGGTGAGATAAGCCGAGGTAGGTGCAATAAATGCTGCCTGGCTCAGCCCTCTATTCTTAAATTTTTGTTCAGGGTCTTGTGAAGATCCCCACCTGACTGAGCAGGCCTCTGTTTGGTTCCCAGCTTCAGAGTGTCGCCCAGCTCCCAGTCCAGTGTAGGCCTGTCATCATCCGTCCCATCAGAGAGCGGGCCTGCTGGCCGCCTCTCATCATTTCTTCTCAGCTGCTCTTTTTACTCCTCTCCTAGTGCAAGGGGTAGAAGAGGGAGCTGTGCAGCCTGCTCTGGTCTAGGATGGATTTGAAATGCAGTGGGAATTCTGAGGGTTCTCTTGACTCCCCTTTGTGACAGTTGGAGCAGCTTTGTGCCGAGTGCCTCTGCTCCTCCATTGTCTGTTCTTTTCCTCCCCCATGACCACCAGTGCTCGTGTTTATCATCCCTTGTTTGTTGCCTTACGGATTTTATTTTTGTTTTCCTTAGCTTTTCAAATTCTTGTTAGCTTTTACTCTTTTACATGTTGTTAAATAATGTGTTTTCTTGTGTCAGGGAGGGAAATTCTTTAATTTAATTGCAACTTGCCATCTTAATCCAGAAATATCTTTCTTGGTTTTCACTTCCCACTGTCTTTGGAAATTCCTAGTGGTAACTTTCTATTTGTCCATCTGGTTGGTTCAGGGTTTCCATTAAATCATGAAATTCTTGTTTCTCCGAAGTACTATACTATATTTTGTCCGATTGAAACCAATTATTAGCTATAATATAGTGCAAAGTCTGGAACTCTGCATCTGTGACAGAGTCACAGGAGATAGCTCCTGATGTCATCCAACTGTATTGTACGTGACTCTGTACATGTATATATAGTACTGAGTAGTATACGTGACTTTGCACATGTACAACCCTGAGTTCATGAACAATTACTGAGTTTAATAATCATGTTGACTACAGGAAAGGAGGAGGGACCGCCATTTCTTAGAGGAGATTGGCTGACGTCTTCAGTATCCCACATAGAGTCTAACCATGGAGGCGCAGACCCTCTTTCAACCATATGTACTGAAGGAAAGTAATTTGACTACTTCCCACTTACGGAATATTTTGATGTGGCCTATCTCGTAGCGTTACTTGGTTTTTATGTAACTTCCTTCCTCTCTGTCTCTCATATTAGTTGAAGAGTGTGTGTAGATCTATGTTTATTTCTTTATCAGTTTTGCTTCCAGCTAATAATTCAGACATTTAAGCTTTTTGTTTTAATTATCTTTGCACTCCAGCTAATAAATTCAGATATTCAGAGAGGTTTAGGTTGACCAGATGGGATGTTTAAAATTGCTGGCAGCATCTTTTACAATTAAAAAAAATCTGCTTAATATAGAGAAGGTTTTTGAAAACTGGATGTATATATAGTTTTTGTGTATCTGATTCCCACATGGTGGGACAGGGGTTTGGCCCAGTACTGTGTCCTAAACATGGGTCATATAATAGGAAACATCATATGCTTATTTTAGAAATGTTTTGATAAATACAGAAAAGAATAAAGATGGGAAAGTCAATCATGATCTCACCACCTAAAGATAATCATTGTTTAGGGTATAAAAAATATTTATACCTTGTTACCTTCTATACATATTTTTAGTGTTGAACTTTTATTTTTAGTTTACATTTTTTTATTTGTTGTATTTTTTATGTTACCATTTAGTTCCCTATACCTTACTTCCCTCAAACTTCTGCTTTAAATGTACAAAATTTTTGCCTTTCCTTTATATACTGGGGCTTCTTAGCAGCGACAGTAAATTTTTGGCCAGGTGAGTATTCGTTGTAGAGGGCTGTCCTGTGTGTTGTAGGATGTTTGGCAGCACCCCTGACCTCTACCCGCTAGATGCCAGTAGCATCTTCCCTTGAGTTGTGATAACCAAAAATATCCTCAGATATTTCCAGATGTCCCTTGGGGATGGGGGCTGGGAGCAAAGTTGCCTCAGGTTACAACCACTGTTTTATACTTAATATTATAACATAAACATTTCCTCATTCTCTAATAAGCTTCATAACTACAATCTTTAGTGACTGCATAATTTTTCTACTATGTATATCATCTTTAGTCTTAATTTGGAGTGTGACCTTGGCTGTCATTAGTACCCATAGCTTTGCACAATTATTCTCTGACGAGGTAAGTATATTCTGTAGTTTACTAATAGTATTTTTTTAATTGTGGTAAATACAAAATTTACCATCTTAACCACTTTTAAGTGTACAGTTTAATACTGTTAAGTATATTCACATTGGTGTGCAAGAAAGCTTCTACTGGTAGGAGTATTTACTACTGAAATGCTGTAAGTAATGATTTCTATTGTTTTGTTCTCATTAAAAAACTTTAAGGAATACTTGTTTTGTTAAAGAATACGAGAGGTTATGGGTTGTTGTTTTTTAAGGATTGCAAACGTGTGAATGCATTACAAAATAAGTTCAAACTTAATTTAGACAATATATTTTTGTAAAATGGTTTTTGTTATATTATAGATACCACTATTTGGAATCATGTCATCAGATTCTGCAGATCCTTTCTACTGGATGAGAGTTATTCTTGCATCCAACAGAGGTGTGTACTTGTTTTTTTTTGCCCCTGTACTAATGCTGACATCAAATAGATCTGAAAATGTAGAAACTATTTTTAGAGTCCACAAGAAGTGGGTGGATTTGATAAAAGAAACTCATTGCCTGGGAGAAGAGATAAATATGTAAATAATTATAGAACCATATGTTTATTCTAATTATAGAAATATGTACAGAATATAGATGTATACAGAAAATGGAATGATAATCACTGTCTGCAGCTTTGGTTCTTAACCTTTTTATAGATTTTCTTTTTTTCCCCTCATTTTTTCTATTTGTTTTCTATTTTTGTTTTGCTACACACTGTGTCAAGAACATTTTCATGCCACAAACTATTCTACATTGTTTTAGTGGACTTTCTGTGTAATTTTAGATACTGCATTACAAGAGGGACAGATCTTTTTAAATGTAATTTTTATGTGATTTTTGGGAATGGCATATAATTTTTAATTTTGTGTTAAAATGTTTAGTGTAAATTTTAAAAATAATGGAAGAAATCTTGGAAGATTTTTTCCAACAGATTTCTTTAACATTTTAACTTCAGAATTTACAGAAACTTACATCCTATATAGTTTTATAGTAATGTTTATTTAATGCATTGTTGCAAGGTTGTGTTAGAGTTTTTGAGTAATTTAATGTTTAAGGAATGAAAATTTGCTTTTTAACATTTGAGTATTTCTGTAGATGTAATTAAGGACTGGGACACTTACAAGGTAATCTGTATTGTGTAGAGTAAAGATTTTCTACCTTTCCCGTTTCTTTATAGGCACTTTAATGGAATTGGGGATCTCCCCAATTGTAACATCTGGTTTGATTATGCAGTTGTTAGCTGGAGCCAAAATCATTGAAGTTGGAGATACACCCAAAGATAGAGCTTTATTCAATGGAGCCCAGAAATGTGAGCATTAATACAATTAAAGAGCCTTTTCAATTTAGGGATTTTGTGGTAAAGATGTTTTCTAGTCTTTTTATGTCTGTGCTGTAACATGTACTACCTCGCCCTCAATTTTTGTCAGTGTTTGGTATGATCATCACCATCGGCCAAGCCATTGTGTACGTCATGACGGGCATGTACGGGGACCCTGCAGAGATGGGGGCTGGGATCTGCCTCCTTATCATCATTCAGGTAGGAAAGCCTATTTTTATATGCAGATGACAAAGTAGTTTGATCCCCTTTTCCTAACAGTTCTTTAGATGATTGATATGTTCATTTTCTTACTTTTGAATGATTTAATTTTAATATTTTGATTATTGAAGTGATGTGTATCAGTTATGTTGATGTGAAAATTTAAAATTTATTCTGATTGCCTCAAAACTGTGTGACATAATGAATTATGGATCAGCTGCATTTCATCAGTTTTAAGATGGACATTTTTCACATTTTGATGTCTGATCAGGATGTGTTTTTTAAAAATATTTTTATTGATTTTAGAGAAAGAGAGACACAGATCTATTTATTGTTCCATCTATTTATGCACTTATTGATTGATTCGTGTGTGTGCTGACCAGAGATCAAACCTTGCAGCCTTGGTGTATTGGGACAACACTAAGCAGCTGAGCTTCCTGCTACCGCCCAGAGTATTTTCCTATAGTGGATAGTGTTTTATAATTGTTGTCAGCCAGGTAGGTGGCAGTCATGATAGTTGTTTTCTCCTGCATGTGTATCAGCTTGACTATAGCTATTCATATTATCACACCAGTTGTTGATATAACATATATTTGACTTTAATTAACTTTTAGAATGTCTTCCAAAACTCTTCTGTGATTTGTTTTTGAAATAAAGTTATTGTATATACACAAAGACACAGAAAGAGTCAGCTAGATTGCATATAAAAATAGCTTTTTTTGTAGGTAGAAAATAAAATTTCTTTGTAATAAGTTGTGTCATAGTTTAATTGGCAGTTTTATTTTTCTTAGTGGCACACAAAATAATGGCATTAGAAATAATGTACAGTATTTGAGGCAGTGAAATACTATATAAACACCTATGCATGTATTGTATGGATTTCTAAAATAGATGCTTTGGAACGGAATATTTGAAGACCAACATTATTATGCCTCTACTAAGTATCGTAAAGTTTGGTAGATATTTCTGTAATGTACAATCTTTTAAAATCATTTAGAGAAGTTGCCCAAGAATGGATTGTACTTTAATTATATAGTTATTTATTGGATTAAAAAAATAGTTTAGCCATGGCTGGTGTGGCTCAGTGGACTGGGCACTGGACTGCATGGCAGAGAGTTGCTGGCTTGATTCCCAGTCGGGGCACATGCCTGGGTTGCGGGCCAGGGCCCTGGTCAGAAACGAATGGGAGGCAACCACACATTGATATTTCTGTCCCTCTCTTTCTCCCTCTCTTCCCCTCTTTCTAAAAATAAATTAAAAATTAATCAGAATAAATAAAAAAATTTTTTGATAGTTTAAACACTGGGCAGGTATCTGGAGTCCTGCTTATCTCAGAATGCCTCTTGCTCACTCCATAAAATTAGGATTAATTCTGGAAATTTTTTTTCTAATGGGCAGAAGACTCCAGGTCAAAAAGATATTTGTAAATAAAATCAAAATACTAGTTTATTAATATATGTATTAAGAAATATGGACCCTGGCCAGGTAGCTCAGTTGGTTGGAGCATTCTCCTAGTATTCGAAGGTGGCAGATTCAATTCCTGATTAGGGTACATACAAGAAGCAACCAGTGAATGCATAAATAAGTGGAACAAGTCATTGTTTCCTTCTCTCTCTCTCTCTAAAAAGAAAAAGGAAAAAAAAGTGACCATCTCACGCTGGCATAGTTAACCATCTTTTTTTTTTTTTTTAATAAGAAACCTTATTTAGGAAGTAGATCATAATAAGATCATTTAGTGAATGTGATTTAGAACAAGCAGAGTTAGATTGTTTGAGTATTTATTGGTATCATTAACAATAGGGATGTCTTTTCCAATGAGATAGAAGTATTTTGTCTTTTGACAGGGGAGGAATTTTTAATGAATAATCAGTTTTGGGGCAGTTTCTTGAGCCCCTGTTTGTTCCCATTTGGTATAAAGTAAATTTCTTTAAGGAATAACATTGTCATTATTTCTCCACTTAAAAAAACACTTTATAGGCAAACTTACAGCCTTGGGAATTAGAGAAAGAAAAGTTGGAATGGATGGAAGAGAAGATTGTCTGAAAACTGAATTTAATACCTTTGAGTGCTTAAATTTTCTTCATCTGCTTTTGGCACTGTTGAGGATACCGATAAGCCTATTGTAGCCTTATGTTTTACTAGCATGTGCATTATGCAACCCATAGTTTAGAAAAACCGTGATTTTTAAAAGGTACTCAGAATTGCCCGGGCTGGCATGGCTCAGCTGGTTGGTTGGGTGTTGTACTGCAAAGTGAGAAGTCCCTGGTCAGAGCACATGCCTTGGCTGGGGGCCTGGTCGCTGGTTGGGGTGTGTGCAAGAGGCAGCAAATCAATGTTTCTTTCCCTGTCTTTCTAGCTCCCTTCCCCTCTCCCTAGATAAGTAAATAAAATCTTTAAAAAAAATTAAGATACTAAGAATTGGCATCTAGTTCTTAACATTATACATCAGTAAAATTTTTCAAGTATTTTACTAAGGCTAGATTTAGACTTTCACGGAACCTCAGCTGAGCAGTTCTGGGTTAGATAAAGTATTGACATCTTTATGAGTCAATTATAAATTTAAATAGATATAAAATGGAATTAAGCCATTTAAATTTTTTATTCACTATTAAAAATCCAAGAATAGTTATATCAGGAATGAAACAAGTAAAATGAATATATATTAATTTGTTTACATAAATTCTGGTGTACAGATACCTCCGTTATGGTAAATTCTTCTGATGTTAATGTATGGGTAAATATATTTAATCATGGGTGGGTAGTGACCCATTTGCATCTTTTTTTTAAGACTGTATTTATTTATTTTTAGAGAGAGGGGAAGGGAAGGAGAAAGAGAGAGAAGTATCAATGTGTGGTTGCCTCTCACGCATTCCCAACTGGGGACCTGGCCTGCAACCCAGGCATGTACCCTGACTAGGAATCGAACCAGCGACCCGTTGGTTCGCTGCCTGTGCTCAGTCAGTCATTTGCATCTTTTTAACACATTGTTAATAATGAAACTGTGTGGGTACACTGAAGAGATATGATCAGATCAGTGTGTTGTTACCTATAAGCATAGGTTGTAAAAACTTTTCCCAAGTTGTTATTTAAGGTATTTCTCACCTTAATTATTCTTTTCATTCACATGGTCAGTGTCTTTCAACTAATGAGTTTTGAAATCTAAGTAGTGGGTCTTAATTAAAATAAAAAAATTGAAACTGTCAGTATGCATGGCACATTGTAAAGGTAAGTATTGTTCTGTCAAACTAAGTTGTGTGCGCATGCCTCTGTAGGGTTGAAATGTGCAGTGTTGTTTTTTACCTGCCTTAGAGATTCATATGGAGTGTACATTCTACAAGAGCATGCAGTTAGTATTCAGTTCTTATTACCATTCTAGTCAATGAGGTGCTGCAGCTTCCTGATGTCTAAATCTTCTTATAGATGTGTATGTGTTTTACCATCTTTTATTTTATTTCTTTAATTATAGGAACCATTTCCTATTTAGGTTTCTCCATAATTCCTTTCTTCAGTTAGAAAAATAAGTTTGATTTTCATGGAATATACACAGATACTCTTATCATCTGATGGACACTGGTCTGAAAAGGTGGTTTGGAGAATTAAGTTGATCAAGAGCTGCCCATATGATTCTGGACAAGTAACTTAGTCAATTAGTCAGAAGGTCATAGTCATACTTTTTGGTTGCCTGGTAGTATTGTGGAGTTATAATAATACAGCTGTTATTCCCTGTGTAGGCTTGGGTTTCTGTATGATTGGGAGTATTTATCCGTTACATAATTGTGGTCAAAATAAAATCTCAGTAATAAGTCCTAAGTTCTTTTTTTGTCAGAATGTTAAACTTGATTTTCAAACAGTAAAGGATTTATCAGCTCACTTAGAAGTTTTGAGAATGATACTGTTTTTCCAGTCCATTCAGAGTTAAACTAAAAGGCTGTCAGTAGACAAGTTAGGCTTTGTATAACCACTGAATGAAATGGCAGTCAAACAGGGGAAAAGAAAACCCTGTGTAAGTTAAGCATGTTTAATATGGTGTACTGTACTTTGTTCTCTATTCTAGCAAGGTTATATCAGGGAAACTGAGTAAGGAGGGGGATGCTTCAGAACTGGGAGGAATGGAAGTAGCACTTCCTCACTTCTGTAGGGGTGTCTCTATAGTGGCGACAGGGTGAGATTGGGGGTGTAGAAGCGTATTTTCTTCCTTGTTTGATTAGGTTATTGACATGTGGGCAAGTAGTCATATGACCATGTCACTTTCAAGGCTTGGGCTTATTTTTAATTGGTACATGCTTTTATAGAAATGTCTTCTCCAAAAGGAAAATTAAGAATTTTCAGTTTCATGTAAATCAGAGTTAGTATACTTTCATTTTTTAAAAAGATATGAGGTTAAGAACCTAGTGAACTGTTAACTATGTATAAATTTATGTTGTCTTTGTCACTATATGTATAGACTGCATTTTGTATTGTAATCTGTATACATGTTAATTTGTGTTCTACTTTATGACTTATTCTGTAGATATGTACGTCTATAGTATATACAACATTATATATAATATTTCAAATATATATCAACATAGTTCATGGATGTTTCCTTTCATGGCTGTATGCAGTTGCATCTTGTTATACTATAATTCTTTTGGCCTTTCACTTACTTGGAGATATTTGGGATATGTTCAGTTTCTTGCTGCCTTAAATTCTACAGCTGTAAACATTTTTGTTTTATAGTGGTCTTTCCAATAAGCCTTATTTAAGGGAATAAGCTTTATTACCCTTATTGTAAAGGAAATTGTTCAGATGGTAATGTCTATTTTAAAAGTTGAAATGTGCTATATATTATAACAATATCTCCAATCCTCTGATTTTCAGAATTAGCTTCTGACTAAAGTGGGTTAAAAAATGCAGAGTCATAAAATAATAATATTGCGACTGTTAGGTTTGAATGTTAGACAAGCTCACACTTTGAAAGTAGTCATTGGTGCTTGTCTTCCCCTTTCTTGAGTTTCTTCTTGCTTCCGCTTACTTGCATTTCTTTCCCCACAGTTGTTTGTTGCTGGTTTGATTGTGCTGCTGTTAGATGAGCTGCTACAGAAAGGTTACGGCCTGGGGTCTGGTATATCCCTCTTTATTGCCACCAACATCTGTGAAACCATTGTCTGGAAGGCCTTTAGCCCTACTACTATTAACACTGGCAGAGGTACATCGCACAGTGACTGTGGCTGCACGAGTGTTGCTGGATGGGTGCTGGAAAGTAACTCGTAACAGCAGTGCAAGCTTGTAGACAGACATCTGGGCTTGCTGTTCTGGAGGACAATTGATGCTTATCATTCAGAAGTTAATAAGCATAGGTTTGTGGGTGTGAAATATTACTTCAAAAAGAATATCTAAATTTCAGCCTCTGCTCATTTCAGTGGTTGCAAACATTTCAAAATTTTTACTTGCCTAAAGCCATTGCAGAACTCATCAAATTTGACTGATTTCAGCATTGCTGGGGGGATTAAAAGGTAGTAGATTCAGATTTTTCAGATGAAAAAACCGATCTTCTTTGTATCATCAGGAAGCACTAATACTTTTGCTGCTATTCCATTTGGCTTGGTAAAAGCATCTAAATTTGGAAAAATATTCTGATTTCCCATTACTCCTATCAACTTCTCTCAGATGCCATCCTAGATTTGTAATGGTTAACATGTAAACTGATTCCAGCGTTAGGAAAATAGCAACAATGGTTTATTAATGTTCCTGATAAAATAAACTTACAAGCAAGTTTGATAGCGTAACATATATCTTTTGATTCTGACCTCTTTACTCTGCTTTGCTGCTGCTGCCCTTCCTCCCCTCTCACCCTGCCCAGTACTCTCTTCCTTTCCTGAAAGTAAAGGAGAAGCAAAGCATTATGAACTAAGTATTTTGGTTTTACTTTGGCTGTTTTCATCAAGAATAGTCTCTTGAGAAAACTTCAGATTTATACTAAAAAACATACATTTTGCCGTAATGATCTAAATATTTTTAGAAGCTCCACATAGGGCTATATCATAAACACATGAATTATTTTGATTAGTATTTTCTGCTGTGTGCTGAAGTTTCAAGGTTGTTTTGACCCTTGGGACAAATTTAAATGATGTGTCTACAGTTCATTTCTCTCTTGATTTATCAGGTACTGAGTTCGAGGGTGCAGTCATAGCTCTCTTTCATTTACTGGCCACCAGGACCGACAAAGTCCGAGCTTTAAGGGAGGCTTTCTACCGTCAGAACTTACCCAACCTCATGAACCTCATTGCTACCGTTTTTGTGTTCGCTGTTGTTATATATTTCCAGGTAGGTATACTCTCTTTCCTGAAGTGAGATGTGGATTTTTATTTTGCTCTTAAAGAGAAGGATGCTATTTGAAATGTTTAGCATCTAATTAGTCAGTGTTTCAGAATCTAGTCAAGCAAATAATTCTTTAGACTCTGAGGTGTAAAGTAAAAAACAGAATGAAATAAAAAGGGATTTCTGTATGTCTCTGTGCAGAAGAGTTAAGTTTTATTAGCATTATCTTTACATACTCCCTACTGTTACTGTTTTGGCTCTGTATATTCTGTATGTGATGTGTACAGTTCCTCTTTTAATTTTCACTTTTTAGGGATTTCGTGTTGACTTGCCCATCAAGTCGGCCCGGTATCGAGGACAGTACAGCAGCTACCCCATCAAGCTCTTCTACACCTCGAACATCCCCATTATTCTTCAGTCGGCCTTGGTGTCAAACCTCTATGTCATTTCCCAGATGCTGTCTGTTCGATTCAGTGGCAACTTTTTAGTAAATATACTAGGGCAGTGGGCAGTGAGTATTTTGTTATTTATTCTTTGTTTAAATTCTAACTTGTATTTAATGTTTATAAACTAGAAGAGATGAGCCATAATTGAAGCGGTTCCTGTATTATTTTCAGAGTCACTTGCCTAGAAAGCATTTTCACATCTCATCTGAGTGACCTTTAGGCTAAAATCACAGTATCTCTCATGATTCTCTGTTTCATAATGTTTGCACTATTTTCTAGAATAATGGTTTTTAAAACAAAGCTGCTTGTTTTCTCTCTTCTAAAAGATTTTTTTTATCCCCACACAAGGACATTTTTTCATTACTCTTGAGAGAGGGGAAGAGGGAGTGGGAGGGACACACACACACTGTGAGAGAGAGAGATGTAGACCTGTTGCCATCTCATATACTCCCTGACTGGGAATTGAACTGCAACCTGGGCTTGTGCCCTAATTGGGAATTGAACCCATGACCCTTGGTCTAAAGGACAATGCTCCAACCAACTGGGCCACACTGGCCAGGGCCAAGCAGCTATTTGTTGATGATGTGTGGGATACAGAAATGATCCTTTTCTGTTTCCCGGTTTTTTCATGGCCTGAATGGCAGTAAACTAGTTTGTGATCAATGGGCCGGAGACAGGCATGTAATTACTAGACTGAAGAGAGAACCAAGTTGTTAGACATAGAATTAATCAGTAACTAGAAATAGTCAGTTCTGACTTCCTTTTCAGGTCCTTTTTATCATCACTTCTTCTAAAGCAGTCCAGCCACATTGCTGTTGAAGTGTAAGATTTTGTAGGATTGAATTTTTATTCGTTTAAATTCTGTCACCTAAGGAGTACTTTTCCCTTCATCTAAACTTTGTATTCCACTAAATAATATTTTTATAGTCATACTGAAATATGGTGCTTATTCTCTGTATTTATCTTACCTATACTACCTTTTGCAATGTAAGTTAATAGTGACTGACACATTTCTGCTTTTACTGAAGGTAATTTTTAAAGAAACTTAAACAGGATAAGACAGTGGGTCTTGAGTGTTATTTGGAGGAAATAGGATTCCCTTTATCTATAATACTCCTTTTCCATTCATTTAACAGAAATTGGATTACCTGTGAAAAAAGCTTTGTCCCCTTTGGGGGGGGGGGCTCTCCCCGTGTGAGCTAATAGTCCAGCAGTAATTATTACTATAACAATTTCAAAGTAATAAATGCATTGAGTGGTTGTATGGAGTGTGTTGTGACCTTGACTTGAGATTTTTATAAATGAGAGAATTATTGTAAAATTGAATCTGTCATAAACAGTGCTTTTGATTTGGGAATAGTAATCCTGGGAGCAAAGTAAAAGAATCATTTGGAAAATAAAAATTCAGGAATTAGCTGTTTTAATCATTGCAGCCATTTCCCATGCACTGTATCCCAAAACTTGTATTTAATATGAGCAAACACATGCTATTGCCATTTCTGTTACTATAAAAATTCTTAAAATATTTGTGTAGGTAAAAATCCCATTCTATATATTTATTAAAAGACTTATTGTATACAGACAAGATAAAGTTTATGCAGTGAGTTGTTAGACTTCTGTCACTGTTTCATTTGCATTCTTAATACTTTGAAATGAAAGAAACGTGTAAGGGTCTTAACATGTAGCATACTTACGTAGTTCAGAAAATTTCAGATTCTAAATGTAATCAGAGATAGACTATAAATGTAATGTTTCTGTTTTCAGGAAAGGAAGGTTCTTACAGATATAATTTTTAAAAAATTGCTCTTCTGTTAATTATATATCCACATCTTTAAAGAGTTGCTCACTATATAATTTTGAAGGAGTGAAGATATTAGATACAAAGCAAATCCTTAAATTATATACAGCCATTAGCTGTAGGTGCTTTGAATTTAAAAAAGATTGTCATAATTTTCAAGGAGTTTGAAACGTTGTAAAAATGTTTAGTTGACAAATTGAGTTGATCATTTGTTCTTTTTGTCCTTGCTCTGTAGGATGTCAGTGGGGGAGGACCTGCTCGCTCTTATCCAGTGGGAGGCCTTTGTTATTTTCTTTCTCCTCCTGAGTCCATGGGTGCCATATTTGAGGATCCCGTCCATGTGGTTGTTTATGTCATCTTCATGCTGGGGTCATGTGCATTCTTCTCTAAGACGTGGATAGAGGTGTCTGGTTCCTCAGCCAAAGATGTAAGTATTTGGTTCATTTCAAAATAAAAATAATTTATAAATTTTAGGTGACAAAATGGTAGTTAATACTATTCATTGCTTTTGTAATTTAAACTTTAATTCATACATTCTTAATGAGGTAATGTCATCCCAAAGGGGTTAAAAATTGGTTCCTGGTAGGTGAAACATTTACAGATTTTATAATGGTTTGTGACCCTCCAGAGCTCAGCCTTACCTGACAGAATCTTACTCCTTAGTATTAATTTTTCTTGAGGGAGGGAGGTGTTACAGTTAAAAAAAGGACAGAAACCCTGGTTTAATGAATGGGTAACATGGTTGTGGAGTAATAGGAATGATGTGACAGTGCCTACTTGAGGGTTATTGTGCCCCAGTCGTGTGTGGAGAGCACTTCACACAGAACCTGGAAGATAGTTAACAGTGAGACGTTGGAGTCTGATTTTAAAAGTTGTTTTTCTTTTGACAGGTAGCTAAACAGCTTAAAGAACAGCAGATGGTGATGAGGGGCCACAGAGATACTTCCATGGTTCATGAGCTTAATAGGTAAGGTCATTGGAGCTCATCCTCAATGGGGGTTGGGGGATACATGTACTCAGTTTTCCATCTCTTTCAGTCTTTCGTTTCTTGCCAAATGTTATTCTTCATTAAATTCATATTTGAAGCATTTCTCCTTCACGTAGAAGGACCAAGATTTAACACATCAAACTGACAGCTACCTAAATTATTTAAATTGGAATTGTGTTTCCCTTCACAGCCCAGCTATAGCAGGTTCTTCTCATTGTTGGCTGGCAGTACATAAAATTATATGGGAGCTTTTAAAAACTACAAATATCTCACCATCAGGAATTGTGATTTATTTGGTCTGGAGTGGGTCTCAGTTATGAGTTTTTTGTTAATAGCTTTATTGGTATAATTCATGTATTATGTAATTCACTCAATTGAACCATGTAATTTAGTGTTCCATTTTTAGTATATTCTGAGTGTGTAAGCATTACACTCTACTTTTAAAAACATTTCATCACTCAGAAAGAAACCTGGTAACCATAATTTCTCATTCCTATCCCTCTACCATCCCTACAGCCCCAGGCAGCGACTTTTTACCTTTTGTCTCTATAGATTTGCCTACTCTGGACATTTCATACATATGGAATCACATAATATGTGGTTTTCTGTGAATAGCTTCTTTTACTTAGAATAGTGTTTTCCAAGTTATTATCTGTAAATAATATTCCATTGTAAGAATAATACCAATTCATTTATTCAGTTCCCAGTTGATAGAAATTTGGGTTGTTTGTACTTTTTGGCCATCATGAATGTTGTTGTGAACATACTTGTAGGTTTATGTGGACATAACTTTCATTTCTTTAGGAGTGGAATTGTTAGGTCATATAGTAACTGTTTAACATGGGACGAACTGCCAAATTATCTTCCAGAGTGGCTGTACATGTATGAAGGATCCAATAGCAACACATCCTCTCCAGCACTAGGTTTTTGCATTTTGATTAGTATGTAGCCACCTAGTGGGTATGGAGTGATATCTCATTGTAGTTTTGATTTGCTTTTCCTTGATGAGTAATGATGTTGAGCCTCTTTTCATGTCTTTGTCAGCCTGTTGTGTTTGGAGGAATGTCTACTCAAATCTTTTGCTCACTTTTTCGATGTCTTTTGTCAGGTGTGTTATTTACAAATATTTTGTCTCATTCTCTAGGTTGTCTTTTCCCTTTCTTGATGATGCCCTTTGATGCCCAAGTTTTTAATTCTGATGACGTTCAGTGTATCTGTTTTGTCTTTGGATGCTTTGTGCTTTTGATGTTGTTGTTATTGAAGAAACCACTGCCTAACCCAAGGTCACAAGGATTTATTTTTCTCTTAGGAGTCTCAGCTCTTATGTTTCAGTCTGATCCACTTTGAGTTAATTTTTGTGTTTGGTGTAAGATAGGGGTCTAGATTCCTTCTTTTGCATGTGGATATCCAGTTGTTCCATAATTATTTGTTGAAAAGACAGTATTTTTACTTAAACTATTTTGAGCACATAGATTTCAGAGAACAGTATAATTAATCTGCATGTAGCCAAGTATATCCATCTTTAGTAGTTACTATTCTGTCATTCTTGTGTCATTTACCATCTTTTCTTTCTGGAGTATTTTAAATATAATCTCATTATATTTAATGGGTGATTCTAACATGCAGCCAAAGTTGAATCATTGTTGGAAGAGTATTACCACATCTGTCACATAATTAATGGTATTTAGAAATGTATTGTTTATCTAGAAGAGGGAGCTAAAGGTTACCCATTTTAAGGTATTAAACATTTTGTTACTTAAATCTTGTTGAAGACTCTATCTCCTGCCATCAAAATCGTGTATTGCCTTTCTTAGCTATTTACTGGTTTCTCTTAATTAGGGAGTAAGTCATTCCCTTGGTCAGTTTTCATCAGCATGTAACTGCTGTAGATATCCCGTGAGTGCTGCAGACTATTCCCTGTTGGATTAGATTAATTACACTTCACCATATTACTGCTTCTGTTGCCCCTTTTCACTTCCCTCTGCTGCCTGACTTGGTTTTGTCTTCTAGGTATATCCCCACGGCAGCTGCGTTCGGCGGTTTGTGCATTGGCGCCCTGTCAGTGTTGGCCGACTTCCTCGGGGCCATTGGCTCCGGCACTGGAATTCTGCTTGCAGTCACTATTATCTATCAGTATTTTGAAATATTTGTTAAAGAACAGGCTGAAGTAGGTGGGATGGGTGCTTTGTTTTTCTAAATGTTCCAATACTTTGTTGTGGGAAGGAAAAACATTTTGACACACTGTTTTTGTCAAATAATGCTGGCTCCCCTCTTCTTCCTCATTGTTTTTTCAAGTGCTAACTGTCCCATTTCTGAAGTGGGCACCAAGCTAAGCCTGTGTGCAGCATTAGTACCAGCTGCCTTAAAACTGAAGTTTACATTATTTGTTAGAAAATACATACATGTAGTGTTGCCTGTGATGCTGGAAACCAGTGTATCCACCTTACCATGGTCAGTGATGGTGAGGTAACACGGATCAGTTTTGCACACAACATTCAAAACACTCAGTATTCCCCCCACTCATTTAAAAATAAATGTAGTTCAGATTGCCACTTTCCAGTATTTTGGGTTTATTCAATGAGTTCTAGAACATTTATATCTAATCTATGTTTTAGATATAATTACTTTTTACACATTTAAAACTCATAGTATCCCTGTTCCACCCTCCCCTTCTACTGTCCCTTCTCAAAGCAGCCACTTAGTCCAGATGGGCAAAATCAAGCTTCTTAAAGCTTCTGTCACTAGAAAAATTGCTTGTAATTATTGTGTTTTACATCCGTCTTTGTTTCCCATGACAGCACAGTTGGTGCTGTTTTGATTGTATTGGCTATGCCTTTGAATTTCAAGTCACTTGAGAATGCTCTTTAAAGATACTGTGCCCCAGTTTTTTTTTTTAAATCCCTAAAGCAAAGATCTAATTCTCAAGCAATGTTTGTAGTTCAGTGGGGGTGAACAATGAGTAATTCATGCTAGGAATCTGTGTATGTTGTTGTACTTTATAGCAGCAACATGAGTGTAAACAGTAGACTTACAAACTTTTATTTAATACAACTGTTTCAGTTGTGTTGGAAAAATAAAAAAATCTGATATTAAATGCTTTGTGTAGGTTCACTGTATTCGTACAAAATTCATCCTGAGATGCCTATTGCAGGAGGTTAAATGTGGGTACTTTAGTGCTTAACCCTAAAATGTTGAGGGAGGGTAACCCACTTCAGGTTGCTCAGCTAGTTATATCACTGGTGTTTGGAAGCAGGAAAACAGTGGTCTGAAATGGTATCCCAGCCCCCATTTGAAATGCAGTTCGTTATCAGCGAGTCACTTTTAAAGCCATGTGCTTTATTGTCCAAAAGGAGATCAAACTTAATTTTTGAAAGGCTTTTCAGAAATATGTTTTCCATCATTGTTTACCTTTTTCGTAAGTGCAGGAAGTATTGTATCTTATTTAGCTTAGGATCACAAAGCCAAATAACTACAGGAGCAAGGCAGAGAAAGTAACTGGTGAACATCTCCATAAGGCTACAGACTGTTGTTACCATAGAATTAGGGACTTAGTGTTATTATATCTTTTTTTTTTTTCAGGCCAGGCTAAAAAATATGCCTTTTATAGGAAACCATCAACTTTTAAATCCTGACAAATCAACAGTGCCAGCTGATGAAAACATCCAGACTCCAAGCTCTCAAACTGACTTAATTTCCAAAGCATAGCCTTTGATGTTTGTAGATAACATAAATACCATTAAGGTTATGTGCAAGGATCTAGCTGTCACTTCTACATTGCGCTTTTAGGAGGAGTAAAAAGTAGAAAGGACAGGTAGGTGTTAACCAATGTATCTCCATCAACAGTTAAGAGGTTGTTTCTCAGTTCCCATAGGGAGTGACTTAGGAAGAGCTGGTCTGTTTGGAGAGGCAGGTTGACTCTAGAGTCTGTGTATTTTATACATGCCTTATTTCTTGATTTTGAAAGAGGACATAAGTAAGGGAAATTAGAGGACTTGGTCCTTGAGAACTCAGGGAAAAGGATTAAGATCTCTGGAGAATTACAATGCCCATGTTTTAAAAGTGAAGATTTTTAAAAAGGGGTTACAGGCAGAAGGGAAGGCTATTATTAGAGCAAGTAGTTGGGGCTAATTTTCACAATATATATTGGCAGAGCAGACTCAATTTATACAGTACTCTGGTTCCAGAATTCTTTCCATCTTTAAGGAGTGCAATTTATGCTTAAAAATATCTCTGGAAAAGTCAGTGAACCTGTAGACAAATGAAAGGTGTTGTAGCATTTTTGGCATCAGTATCTGACTTTATCTAGTTGAGAGGCCTGGCTAACTCCCGCCTGGGTTGAGGGCTTAAATCATGACAGGGCTGTCCAACGAGAGTCATCCTGAGACTTCTGCTGGGGGCTACGCTGAAAAGGCAATGTCCCTGGAGTTTGGTAGCCACAAAAGTCAACCCAAGATTCTAGTTCAGCTAAGAGGTAAGAAGGTGGCCTTGTAGCCCTGGTAGATGTTTTGGATGACAGGCTTTAGGCATGGCATGAGCCAGAAACAATCAGTTTCTCCTTTAAAGTACTTTGTACTGGGCTTCGTGTGCTTGCCAGCCTTGCTGGCTACACTCAGGATTGAACACCAAGACATTAATGTCCCAAACCATGTAAAATTGTATTGCCGTGGATTTGGTTTTCTAGTACTTTTTTGAGGTAAGGTTAGGAAGTGACATTCTAAAGTATGTTCACATGCTATAAGGGGGAAGGATCCTGTATTTTCATTAGCCTCTTAACCTAGTTATAGTGAATGAAAACCATTTTTCATATATAAGAGCTGGTTTACCTTCAGGATTAGTTAGGTGGATATGACAACAGTTAAGTGTAAGCATTCGCTTATCATGAATGTTACTCTCATCCTCTGCTATGCTGATTAATTCTATATAGCAGATAATTCAATTAAGAGGGTCCAAGAAAGCGCGCTCTCTCTCTCTCTCTGTATGTATGTATGTATGTATGTATGTATGTATGTATGTATTTGTTTTAAAACTGTTTAAACACTAATGCAGTAAATAGTTATTTGCATACTCAGCTACTGAATTCTATGTTGGGGGTCTGGAGGTGGGAATAGTTGATCTAAATTTAGAATTCAGGTCTCTTCTATTATACGACCCTTATCTCCTGGACTAGAGTAGATAGTGGCTGAAGTTCAAAAAAATGGATTAAATCTGCATTTATGTTCTTTTCCATTAGTATTACCTGGATTCAGCATTTAAATGAAGGCTACAGCCTACCTATAATTACAATTCCATACCACAACATGCATTCCTTATTGTTTTTATTTTATGAAAAAGGTACTTTCAAATTTCTTATATGAACACAAAGTCTTAGTGAAGGAGGCCTTGTGACCCCTTTTAGAAGAACATGGCTACTACGCTCTTCTGGCCTTAAAATTTCAGGAAGGGCACTTCAAATGGCTTTGTGTTTGCATGTTTCATCGCCAGAGCGTAGGAATAGACCCTAGCATCCACTGTCAGATGTTCTTCAGCTACCAGGGCTACAGGAAGCAAAGGATACAAGTTAGACAATGCAGTTAATAAAAGACATACCCCTTATCATCCAGTCATTATTTACTGAGTAGCTACTACGAACCACTCCCTATGCTAGATGCTGGTGATACAGTAAACAAGAGCCTTAAAAGACCTTACTGTAGTAGAAGAATAAATGATATAAAAAAGGTTATATTTATGGCCTGAGACAAGAACAACAAAAAAGGAAGAGTAAAGACAGAAGAGCACATATATCAGAGATGATGATTTTGTGTGTTAAAATAGCAAAGCTTTACAGATCCACTGGTTCATTTATAGCTCACTGTCAGACTTGGCTTGGCTGCTATGAAGCTATATAGTGATGACCACTAAGTAACTTACTGAGGACATCCTCGCTGCCAGGGGAGACATACTTTGCACAAGCAAATTAACTGTGCATGACAGGATTAGAATTCTATCAAGAATGAGATCTCAGAATCTCATTACAAAGCACTTTGATGAGAACTTCTATTTCACTCAGATTATTGGATTTCAAATCTGTCGCCTGTTTGTTTGGAACAAGCTGAGACATTTTAATCCTCAAAGGCAGGGTATATCCTACTCTGCCTATAGGTGCATTCCTTGTAACAAACTGAACGAAAATCCTTCCTACTTACCACATGTGATTTGTTGAATAGATTATCTGATGATTATATTTTGATTCTAGTAAAGCTGAGAAAAACGGGCTTTCACTCATCCCGCTGCATAACCCTGTCTTCCTTCCCTTTGCTGCTTTCTATTTCCCTCTCTTCTAAGGTCAGGAGGGAAGTTAGGGAGAAGGGAGGGGTTTTAAAAATAATTTTCTAATATAAATAAGAAATAGAGCATGTAACATTTAAGCTTCATGTGTCAACGTTATCCAGTTTACTTTTACTCATGCCTCCTCAAACATAGGGGCTATCTCTTGTACCTGTTCTGTTATATGAGAAAGACTTAGACTATGAAACTTGTTCAAGGTCATAACCAGTACATGTTGGCTGAGCCTCATATCCAGTCAGATCTTCAGATCTGTCTGACTCAAAGTTAAATCTTAAATATAACTGAAGGCTACAGTTTTCTCTGAATAAATACCTAATAAATTATTGAGCCCTAGCTGGATGGCTCAGTTGGTTGGAGTGTCATCCTATACACCAAAAGGTTGCTGGTTCGATCCCTGATCCGGGTGTATATGGGAGGCAACAATTGATTCTTTCTCACAGGATGTTCCTCCCTCCCTTTCTGTCTCACTAAACTCAATAAAAATATCCTTGGGAGAAGAGTAAAAAAAATTTAATAAATTATTGAGTCTTTTCAGTATATTTGTAACTTGACTTTGACTCTGGAGGTGGTTTTTACTTTAGGTCTAGTTTTTAAAACAGCAAAGTAGGCGGAAGTAGGAGTGGAAACGTTCTGGGAATATGAAAGCACAGCAGTTTTTTAAAGATCCACTTTACTTTTTGAACAAACAACATAGATGTTAGAAACAAAACTGTTAAGCCACTGGTACTAAAAGGAGCAAGAAAGACTGCTCTCAAAGCCTCAGGTCAAACAGTACTTCAGAATTTTTGAAGTAAAAACTGAGCAAGTGAATAGGCACATAGCCGGCTTCGGGAAAGGCCTCTGTCGGGAAAGGCCTTCAGTTACACCCTGACGTGGTTACGTCCCAGGGTGCCTGTCCACGTAACATTTAGCCCCCCCCCCCCCCAAAAAAATCCCTAAGAGATGGGCTGGCCAAGAACTACATAATGTAACTACATAACCAGTAATTTACTAAAGGTCACACTTAGATGGTATGGTTCATTACATCAGCACACTGCACTCAGAAGGAATATTGTTCAGTTCTTGTATAACCTGCACAAAGAACTATCTAACATACTGGAATATGTAGCATATTCCAGTATCTAGCCTATTGGAAATCAGTGAAGTCTTATCCATTTATACCTCTGCATTTCCATGGGTTAGAGATTTAAGGTATAAACTAGTTTGGGCTAATTGGCAGGAATATAATACCACTAATAGGAGAAAAAAGGCCCCCACTAAAAGCTTTCACTTATGTGGAATGTTTTGCTCACATTTTCAAACTATACCACCCAGAAAGGAAAATTATTGGTGAACTGCAGTTTTAATAAGTTTCTAGGTATTTGACTTTAAGGAGGAAGAATTTAAAGAAACAATTATATTTAGTTCCCCTTTTTTGAGGGGGTGGGGGAAGGAAAACTAGAGAAAGTTAGGCAATAATCTCAAGAATGCTTACCTTCAAGTCTCTTCATCAGGTCATTCTTTGGTAAGGAAATTACTTCCACGAATTCTAAACAAACAAACTACAAATGAAAACAAAGCTAAAGAAGGGGAGGGCCTACCAGAACAACATAAAGCGCCTGTAGCCATTACTAGCCCGTTAAGCCATACACATGATCAGCCACTGGGAGCTGAATAACATACCTCCATCTCCTGCAAAATAAGCAAAAGGAGAACATTTTAGCAAGGCCTAGAGTGGTAAAACATACGAAGACTTTTGTGTGAGACACATCAAAAAGGCTACTACATGAG